GGGGGGGGCTTCCAGTGACCTGGCGGGAACCAGACAGTTGTGTCGTGTAACGGTAACCAGGCTCAACGAAACGAGAACGACACCTCATTTCAGGACAAGGGCATGTAGCACCAACAACACCGCGTGGTTCACAGATAAGAGATTCTCATGGTGGAGAGGTTAAGGTGTTTGCCTCTCGTTTAATAGGTCCCGGGTTCGAATCCGGAAAGCGATGGAAAATGTTCTCTTTTAAAATGTTTTCCTTTCGCCTCCTTTCCTGCTCACTAACCATGCTTTACCGTCGGCTATCGTCTACACTTTCTGCCCCCCCCCCTTCCCCTTTTGCCTCCTACTGTGAGCTCCTGACTTTTTCTGCAGCCTTTCTACATCTACTTCTCGGCTCCTTCTTATTGCTCTTTCGTCCACACCCCTGATCTTATGATATGTAAGATCTAGCATCTAGCCTTCTCTGACAAGGGAGAAAAATCTCAGAGGACCCGTGTTCAAGTTGCGCACGTTAAAGAGCCCTTGGTGATCCAATATCGATCAGAGTAGGCTTCGGCTGCCACCCGGGCAAAATTCAACATTTCCTATCATCTGAAAATGTTTAAGGTGTCGCCGCGCACTCATATGACCTTATGCAGTGGCGAGAGTCGTAAAACACTTATCAAAAGAGAGAGAGAGAGAGAGAGAGAGAGACAGACAGACAGACAGACAGACAGACAGAGAGAGGAGAGAGAGAGAGAGAGAGAGAGAGAGAGAGAGAGAGAGAGAGAGAGAGAGAGAGAGAGAGAGAGAGGGGCACTCTTTGCTATTCTTATCTTAATGAAAGTTAATGTATTCAAACCCCTTGTTTTAGATTGTTGAACTTCAATTCCCAACTCAACGTAGATTCTAACGTTAAAAAAAAAACAACCCTTGAGCCCCGATAAGCCAACGGGAAAAGAAGGTATCATGTTCTGATAGTATGAGAGTATCAAACTCCGGACACCGTCACACTCCAGCCCTCACTTCCACAGGAAGAGGCTATTTTTAAGGCTGGGCATGTACCGGTTCTCTGTACCGGTACCGGATCCGGTACCACCGTAAATGGTGTCAGTACTGGTACCTCAAGGCTTCCAGTGCCGGTACCTGGAAGGTTCCGTCACCAAGGGTTTGTTTGTTTGTTTGTTTGTTTGTCTGTTAGTTTGTTTGCTTGTTTGTCTGTTAGCTTGTTTGCTTGTTTGTTTGTTTGCTTGTTTGTTTGCTTGCTTGCTTGCTTGCTTGTTTTAGAGCTATAAAAAGGTGACGATACAAAGTACTAGGCACAGTGAGTGACATGCTCTTGGAACTAAAGCTCCGATTCCACACAGCCCATGAATCGTGATAGAAGCATGGCGCCTTCAATTTCCATGCCTGGTGTCCCTTGTTTGAAGCCATCACCAGTTTGTAGGGCATAAAAAATGTACTGGCACTCCTCCGGTGTTTTGAATATTTATGACTCTCACGGTAACTTTATTCATGTTTTTTAAATCTTTATGTCAGCCTTTTTTTATTGACTCGTGACTTCCACTGGCACTTACAACAGACCGTAGAATAAAACTCTAAAAAAGAAAGAACGTAGTTGCACAAGCAAAGTGAAGTTGGTTGCCAACTATCGCGGCGGGGCGCCCATGGAGTATAAGGTTGTGTAGTGCTGCCCTAGTTTTTAAAGAATTTTTTTAATAGCGTAAAGCACCTGTTAACAGAACTGTTTTTAAAATTAAAACCAGAAACAAGCACTTGTCAAATATGCAGAGTAGCAAAAATTCTGTCACAACCCCCTGAAAAGTACAATTACTCGTTTACTATTCAAGATAGCTAAGTCCAATTTGACCCTCATGATCTTCATTCATTGTCTGCAAACACTACATAAAAAGAATTCGCCCACTTTTTTCCTTATTCAAGGGAGATGATGTTATTCACAATAATGTAAAATTGTTCCCGCATCCGATCCGGACGTTGGGGATTGCCTTGTTAGTGAGACAACGTCCTGGGCCTTCGGCATATTATTGTAGGGTGGCCAGTTCCTTTCCACGCCGCCTTTACTTCCCCAACTGGAAGTCAAGTACCCATTACTGCGGGGTGGGTCGGAGGGGGCGAAAAAAATCCGTGTCCGAACGGAGGCCGAATCCGGACTTTCTGCTTCGAAGACGAGCGCACTGAATCGATAAGGGGTTCTCGAGGTCTCTCATTCAATGAGGCATTTTTCTGCCAGCTTGACAATCTTCAATACAATTTTTTTGTTTTTTAACTCAACACCTTGTATACCCATTTTAAAACGCACAGTGACTGCTATGTGAATTTTACTGGGAAAATATTGATCAAAGGCACCCAAATTAAAATAACAAGGAGAAGATGGAGATGGATTGGGCATGTTCTGAGAAGAGAATCAGACTCTATTGTATAGACTGCACTCCACTAGACACCCGAAGGACGTCGCAAGAGGGGCAGGCCCAAGGTGACCTGGAGACGCACAGTAGAGTCTGAAATGAAGTCCTGGAAGCATTCGTGGGGGACGTTTACCAAGATGGCCCAAAACAGACAGAGCGGGAGATCTTCTGTTGCTGCCCTAAACGCCAGATGGCGTAATGGGTAGTAAGTAAGTAAGTAAGTAAGTAAGTAAGTAAGTAAGTAAGTAAGTAAGTAAGTAAGTAAGTAGTAGTAGTAGTAGTAGTAGTAGTAGTAGTAGTAG